AAACAAACTTCGTTTGAACTCCCGTAAATTCGTCCCTTTTCCCTTTGACTTCCACTCAATTGAACATTTCCAGCGTGGGCAAATGAAAATCGTTTCGAAAATGTTCACAATTGCAATGGTAGGCCATTGAAATTCGTTTACAAACGGATTCCACACTCACATGTCCGCTGAAATCACAAAATCCTCGCAGAGGGACACTGCTGACGTCATGTCAACATTTTGCATGGAATCGAGGAACGAAAAACGGAGAAATTATTGTAAAAATAATTTGAAATGTTTTGAGTGATCAACGAAAAGCCGCGAATAAATAACAACAGCATGACTGAGGTCTGGGGAAATATATTTTTATTTTCTTATTTTTACTGGTGACGCAAATAGTGAGCCATTTTCTGTTATTTTTAGCCAGTGGTCGGCGGCGCATGTTTTCATAATTTATGTGAACTTGATTTATTTGTGCGCATTTCCGCTCGTTTCGATTCCATTACGATTGGTGGAACGCTCCCTTTCCGTTTCGCGTCCCCTAAAAACCCCATAAACTTGAACCTGATTAATGTGCCCCGGCACGATATGTGAAAAGTGTTGCCTACTTCTGGGGACCTGTTAATTGCCAACCATAAAATTGGCCAAAACGCTCCCTAACACGCGAACTACCGGGGTCCTCGAAAATAAAACAAACAATTCAATCTGCTCACAGTTCCTGAAAGTTCAGGACTCTGGACGTGGCCTAACGAGCTGCAAGGAGCACAAAGAACCATTTCCTCCGTTTCCCAGTTTTTGGCTCACCCAGCCAGGCAAAATTAAATTTACAACAAACAACATCAGTTACATGTCGTCACGGCGAAACTGGGATCCAAAGGGCAGGACCAGGAATCCGGGGTCAGGGAATCGGTGACTCAGAACAGGGAATTACACTTTGAAAAAAGGTTCACAACATATAAAACAAATTTACATTTATTTTCTTAATTTAGACAACATTTCTTTAAAGACATATCATACAAAATCAATACATAAATTTGTAGATTACAAGAACCTCACTTCATTTAGGAATTAAAAATATTTTCAGATAAATATTTTTAAAAATTGTGATAGAACATTGAAAAAACGATTCAAAAATGGAATCTAAACTAATCATAATATTAGCAGGCTTGTATTTGAATTAAATAGTGAATTGAATTGAAATAGTGGTTGAAACACATTCTCAGCTTTATATTCTTATCTACCTTTTTGTATATATTTTCCAGGATATATATTTTTTTTGAGTGCCGCCACAGAGGGCAGTAGGCAGGAGTTCACATGTCGGCGCCGCTTTTTCGAGGGTCCTGGGAACTGACGATGGCTTTATAGCAATTTAATGTGTTCGTGCAGTTCTTGTTCTTGTTGCTGTTGTTTCCACTCTTGTGAAAAATGATTTCGCTTTGCTCTCGGCCACAGTCACGAAAAAAACATACGAAATACAACAAAAAAGACGAGCAATTTGTTGGCCTTCTAGGAAAAATCATCACAATGGCGGCTGTTTAGTAGGCGGAATCCTTGATTTGGCTTCTCCTTAAGTTAAGGGAATTTCGCGTTCATTTACATACACGAGTCTTATTATATACATCTGGTAATTGGACTCCCCATTAATTTTTTTTTTGTGGCTCGTAGGCCTTCATTTTGTAGTAGGCGTTTCACCACATGTGTGCAATCATTTCTTTGTTTTCGTGCATACTTAAACTGTTTGTTTTTAACTGGGGATTTATTTTTTTATACAGTTCTTAAGTTAAATTCAGATAGCTGTATACATATTTTTAAGATCTTTAGTGTGTGTTTTTACAAAGCAGATTTTAAATGGAAACTTAATATTTATAGTGCTATATTAATTTAACGAATCAGTTCAAATAACCACAATTATAAATTTAATGGGCTACAGAAAAATATCCTTTGCACTCTGGTTTGGCCTCCATTATTGTCACATCCGACATGCCATACTATACGATACTATATATATATATATACCACACCAAGGGATATCAATAAACTCTGTGGCCTGCAGCTATTGATTGCCGGGTGACATTGAACCTTGACATTGTTGCCTTGGAAAAAAGGATTCCCCAGTGCCTGTTCCTGTGGTTTATTAATTATGCTGCTGGTCATCGCTCGTGGCTGGCCATAAATTAATGACAGCGAGTTCAGTGTCCCCTAAAATTGCTGCAATTATTTGGAATATTTTCTTGGCGAAATTGCTGGCAATTATGAAAATTAACATGTTTCAGCATAATTGCACACAAGAGCCGCAAATTGCGCCACTACAAAGTTTATACATATTCATCACTCCCACATAATCTTCAAGAACTCGAAAAGCTGCTGGAATTCCTGTTTTTTTGCGTGTTGGTCTTGGTTTAATCTGCTTGCTTTATTTGTCATGCACGTCCAGGTTGGTGAATTAAATTTGAATTTTCCAAACCCGCCTGTGGGGCAACAACACGGAATTTCACAAACTTTTTCTTGCAGCTTCCGGGCTTTGACTTTAATTACGTTTTATTTGGCTTTTTAAGTGTTGCAGTGTTGTGGGAAATATTAAGTAAAGCTATCGAATAAAAAAAAATTGTTTCATATTGAGTCACTTAGTTGATTGAAATAAAAATACCTAACAATATTCTGAATGACTATTCAGGAAAATTCCGTTTCCGGATAATTTTAAACTCTATTTTCCACGCTCTTCCCACAGTGCGACCTCCTACAGTGAGGCCTGAGTTATTGCCTCCATTTCTTTGGCCTGTCAACGCGGCCATTTGAGAGCCATCTCAGGGCCATGTCAATGATTTGCTTGACTGGAATGCGGCATTTATGCTGAGCCATCTATGCAAATCTCCGTCTGCCCGAGGGACGGCTAAACCCATTTGCCATTGTCATCACGGTGCAAATGGAATTTGCCTGTTAACTCTTCCATCTGGTCACCTTTTGCCTGATTTTGCCGCCCGATTTTTACGCAGTCGTCAACCCGTCGAAAGCGACTTATTTGGCACACTTTTCAGGTGCGAAAAATCAAGATAAAAGGATACCAATTCGTATCCAAAGTCACGCTGTGCGTGCTGGAATGGTCAAAGGTTTTATTGTCTGACAATGGAGTCTTGAAACAAATGTTGATTTTTATGCACAGGAAAATGGGATTCCTAGATGTTTATATGGGCATTGCATTTTTATGCCACTGTTCGTTGTTAATAAGTGAAGAGATTATTGGCTTATTTAACTTATTCAAGGGCTCTTCTATATTTTTTATTATTAATAGCGAAAAAAGTTTATCAAAAGAATGCTTGAATTCGTGGCTGGCCTTAAATTGATAAAACATCATTAAGTTATTAAATGCAAGAATAAAATTTGCCAGTACGAATTGGATTTAATTCAGCTTGCTGAATAAAATAAATAATAAGTTAATAATAAGTAATAAGTTAAAACAAAAACGCCAATCAGTAGCTTTATTTGAAGCTTTTTGCTCAATTTAAATGCACAAGCAAATTAAATTCTCAAACAATTTGTATTAATTATGCAAAGAAACAAGGTTCTAACTTTCCCACCATTTGATTTAAAGCCGCGATGGGTCTTTCGAATCTGAAAGCGATTGCAATTGCAATTACCCATCGATTTGTTCAATTTGAAGGCGCTCAAGTGCTTAAGCGTCCTTTCACCTTTTTGTCGATTTGGTCTTTGGATAAACAGCATTTTGTTTGCATTTGCGCGGCTTTTATTTGCTTGCCCGCTGTTGATGTCTGCGGGTTTTCTGAGAGGGGATTTTCGGGAGTGGGAGTGGGAGGGAATCCTCGGGGGGTCAGGACATCCTGCAGACGTGGTGGGTCAAAGGCTCCTGCCGGGTATACCAACGGTGCTCCAACGGTCAATGTTCCCAGGTGCGCCAAATAAATAAACGGCTTACTAAAATTAGGGGCTAAAAAAGAAATGAAAATTCGCATAAAATTTTTATGCCCTGTCGAATTTAACGAGAGCTTCTCCCCTTTCGATTCGTCGTTGCAATTGGCCCTCAGTGTCTGTGGATTGAAATCCATTGCTCCACAATTCCTCAAATTAAGTAAAGTGGGCAGGGGAATCCCCCTCTACATTTAAATTTGCATAAGAGGCATCGACGGATGCGGATGCGGATGGGTTGCAGTGTAATTGGGCGGAGTGAAATTGCGTTAATATTTAACAAGCCAGCGAAAGTGCAAAAGTGAAACACATTAAATGGCGAAAAGGGATGCGGAAACGAAGTCCTTCGGGGCGAAGTGCGAAATTATGCGGAATTCAGGGAGATCCGCAACAAACCTTTCCGTTTGAAACACGACCCGCAAAAGTTAAATGTTAGCCAGAAGGTCAGACGAATGTGTAGTTGAACATGAAATGTTTGACCCCGAAGTGCATATTTAATTTCTCATTAACGTCCTGCTTCATATTGAATTGATTATGTTAATGCCATTAAAGCATGACAATTTAAAATTTAATTTCCGATACCAAATTGGAAAAATGATTATTGAAAAATTAATTTTAATAATGACATTGTGCTGACATATAAAATTGATAAAAGTTGTATACCGTGGGATATTTAGCTTCTAAGGTCGGTGTGCCTAAAGAAAATGTTCTTATGAACTTGATAAAATCATGTACATTTAATATATCAATTAAGCTTGTTATATATATTTAAAGATATTAAAAATAGTTTTATTTCTGCTTCTGATATTTTATAAACCTAATTTCAATTATTTTAAAAGTATTTGCAATAATAATTTATTTTATACTGTTTTCTTTTTTAAATGATTCTTAAATGTATGGTTTTGTTTATTGATTGCATAGTATCAATAAAAATGGATTAAAGCTTAACTATCATCTTCTCTTATATTTAAAAAGCCCGCCATAATTTTTCTCGTGGAAAAATATAAGAAAATACCGATAAGAAAATACCGCCGTCCGTGTTATCGATATCGGCGATCAGCTGTGACTATCGAATTCAAACAGCTGATGTGGCTCGCGAATTTCGCAGTTGTTGTTGCACTTTCTGTTTTGGACTTTGAAACGAGTTGCCTCTCGAGTTTAAACAACAATTGTTATTTAATTTTGAAAGCCATCGACTGGAGAGCCATGTTCCGGACACGGGTGCACCGCAATCTGTCGTGGATCTCGACGAATTCGTCGCGGACAACGACGACTCATGGGCAACACTACCAATACCTGCAGTGCTCCAAACTGCCGACGCTGTATTTCCAGCGCTCCTTGCCGAGATTACCGATCCCGCTGCTGGAGAACAGCTGCCGGCGCTTCCTGGAGGCCACCGCGCCACTCCTTTCGCCAGAGGAGCAGACGCGAACGCAGGAAACGGTGGAGCGATTCCGCCAGGGAATCGGAATGGAGCTGCATGCGAAACTCAAAAACCATGATGCGGCGAACAAGCACACCAGCTATATATCGCAGCCCTGGTTCGACATGTACCTGTCCGATCGGGCGCCCCTGCCACTTAACTATAATCCCCTGCTGGTGATGAAGAGCGATTCGCGGAAGGAGTACCAAAATCAGGTGGTTCGGGCCACTAACCTGATCATCAGCTCGCTGCGTTTCTGGCGTTCCCTGCAATCGGATCTCCTGGAGCCGGAGGTCTACCACATGAACGCCAAGAAGAGCGACACCCCGAGCTATCGAAGGTGGATGAAGGTGGCGCCGAAGGCCTTCGCAACTTATGCCTCGTACGCCTTCAAGGCCTTCCCGCTGGACATGAGCCAGTATAACAGACTGTTCGGCACCTCCAGGATTCCCAGGATTGGCAAGGATGAGCTCGTTCAGTCGCCTGACTCCAAGCACATCCTGGTGATGCGACGCGGCCACATGTACGCCGTAAACGTCCTCGATTCGAGTGGCTACATCGAGAGTCCCAGTGTGATTCTGGGCAGGCTAAAGGCTGTACTCAAGTTGGATGCAGATCGCGAGGCGGCCAGTGTGCCACTGGGTGTCCTGACCTCCGGGCAGCGCGATGAGTGGGCCAAAAGCCGGGAGCAGTTTGTCAGTAACCCGAAGAACGCCGATCTGTTGCAGAGCGAGGTGGATGCAGCGCTGTTTTGCGTATGTCTGGATGGCGAAGAGGATGGGGTGTTTAATGAGGATCGTCAGGAGCCGCTGCTCAAGCACCTGCTGGCGGGAAAGGCACAGAATCGGTAAGAAATTGTGCTTGACTTTTTATATCCCTGACTTACCATAAATTTTACCTCACCCACAGCTGGTTCGACAAATCCATTTCCCTGCTAATCAGCGCGGATGGCACCACGGCCATAAACTTCGAGCACTCGTGGGGCGATGGCGTGGCTGTCCTGCGATACTTCAACGAGCTCTACAAGGACACCCAGCGGCAGCCGTTTGTGTCCACGGCGACGGTGCACACTCCCGCCGAAGGGGATCTCAGCAATGTGCGACCCATCAACTTTGAGATCGACGAGGCCACCAAGGCGGCCGTATCAGAGGCTTACAACAAAAATGCTAGTATAGTGGATAGTTTGGACATGAATGTGCTTAAGTATCCGCACATCAACAAGCCCACCTGCAAGCAGTACGGCCTGAGTCCCGACTCCATCATACAACTGTCCTTCCAGCTGGCCTATCGCCAGGCCTACAACGGCTATGTGGGCAGCTACGAGTCCTGCAGCACCTCCGCCTTCCGACATGGCCGAACGGAAACGATGCGACCTTGCACCAATGCCACGCAGGACTTTTGCGAGGCCATCCTGCAGCCGGAGAGAAGCAAACCGAGTGCCGGAGAGCTGCGGGCGATGATCGACAAGTGCAGCAAGGTGCACGGCCAGCTCACCAAGGAGGCGGCCATGGGACAGGGTTTCGATCGGCATCTATTCGCCCTTCGGCACACGGCCCAAAAGGAGGGCATTCCCCTTCCCGATCTCTACGAGACTGAGGCTTACCAGCGCATTAACAACAACATCATTAGTACCTCAACCCTGGGATCAGATGCCCTGCTAGCGGGTTCATTCGGTCCGGTGGTCAGGAATGGCTTCGGAATCGGGTAAGCCGTCTGTCTATCGCTTACAAATGCAGCACCCATTTCCCAAATTCATTTGACAAATTGTTCAATTGCTGACAGTTGATAACCCATTTTTCTTTCAGCTATTCGATTCAGAACGATTTTGCCGGCGCCATTGTCACCACGTACAAAAACCAGGCTGATGGGAAGGTGTTCATAGACAGCCTGGAAGCGGCATTTGATAAAATTTGCGCTGTCATCCAGCAAAGCAGCAGTAGCAAGAAATAGGAATGAACCCCAAGGATAACGGCCCCAACTCCCCTCATGAATATGGCTTTAACAAAACAAGGAGATTTATTTTGATGCTTTTACACTGTATCCCATGTGTCTGAATTGCAATATCTTTTTCCTAGCTCTACAATTTATAGATTATACACTGAAAACATTCTACCCCATCTAAAGCAACTTTGTCTGTGCTTTTATCCGGTCCGCTTTTATGGGTTTTGCGGCTGATAGGATAATAAATTGGCGAACATATTGTAGGAATGCTGCAGGCTTGACAATTGGAATTGAAAAGGAGAATTAATTTTCGTTTTAAAACAAATAGCTGGAGGCTGCTCTAAAGAAATGAAAACGGATTTAATAAAAACTGAAAAATTGATAAAGAACTCAAGCTTAACAAAAAGCATACAAATTCTATTATTTAGTTGGAAATAAACATGTCTTAAAAAAGGATACGACGTTAAAAATGTTTTCTTTAAGAAAATATACAAACACAGCCTGAAATTGCAGCAACCCTTTTGAGATGAGTGAGTTTTCCCTCAACATATGTAAACTTTGACCTTCCATTGTCACTTAGCTTTAACAAGATGTGTGCCCACGCATACAAGCACCCTCTTCCCAACTTGGTTACCCCGAAGAAAATGGGGGAAACCCACCCATTAAGCAGTTGCTGATTAAAGGTTTCCCGCACGCTGACCCAGAAAACTTTGTTACCAACCCTTCGGGCCAAATGGTTAGCTTTCGATTTGTGTGCACGTCAATCGCGAACTCCGTCTAAACATGGCTAAAAGTTTATCACAATTCCGGGCCTTCAGGCTGTGACTGGGACTGGGAAATGTGGATGTCGCTAAATGTGCTGACATTATCAGTTGATTTATCGCCAAATTTTGTTGCCAACTGGCGTTGTAAAAATTAATTAACTTGCTTGGAGAGGTTCTCCCGATATAATACACAAGATTCCGCCTTAATGGGCGGCATTAAAAATTAAAAAGGAGACATTCCCGCAGCGGAGAGGTCATTAAAGCCAAGTAGATTCTCCCTGCCAGTGGCGGACAATTAAAAACATATTAAACTGACGTGCCGGCAAGGATGTGGAGTCTGTGTGTGCGAGGATGTGGCCTGATGATAAATGTGCGGTCGCCAGGATTTAATATTGCGCATACGCCGCCGTCGCCAGGCAGCTCATTAAATTATTCAAAAATGAGACTCCGCTGCCCGTCCAGTTGTGGCATTATATATATATCCTAGTACATCATCCGGTTGTTGGTTTATTGTGTTTCCAACATGCGACATGTGGCCGCAATAAAGGGCCCTAACGTGCGTCGCCTGCAGATGAGCTCCAGTTTCAGTTGGCCACTTAACTCTCCGCTTTTTCATCAAAATTCCGTTGAAAGCCGCAGGATAAATCAATAATTGTTCTTATAATTGAATATTAATATTTAATTCTTACTCTCTTCCTTTTGGGTAACGCATCATTAGGCCCGGGCATCTGTTGCGAAACTTTTTTGAGTAAAGGCTACCCGCAAGCTGATTTATTGCCTCATTTTCACCCCTGGAGTTTAGCACTTGCTATTTTGAATTTGCGGCAGCAATAATATTTGTTCGACCCCAGCAACCGCAAAGACCGCAAAAGCTGTTAGCAACTTCTCAGTTGCCCACACTGCGTATGCGTAATCTTGGTCAACCGATTGCCGCATGTTAATGCACTTGGATCAAAAGCAAGCCACACTTCCGCACCTCGGGCTAATGAGCAATTAATATGGAAATCAGTTTTGGCCATTACAAGGTGCCGACCAATTATGATGCGAACTGGCCGAATTAATGGCCAGAACATGTAGCAACGTGTCGGGAAATTACAATTTCCCTGTCGGTACAGAGGCAAAGGAAAGTTCACATGTGGTCAAGGAACCCGGACTTCCAGGGAATTTGTGCTTCAAGTTGTGATGAATTACTCTTTGTAACTGGTATGTTTGTGTTAATATAATTAATCAGAAATAAGCTACCGCCACCTAATTACAGCAAAAGTTAAATAAACTAATAGAAATAAAATGTTGTGCAAATGAAAAGAGCCGTTCTTTTGTCTTCATTAAATTTTGACGTTTAAAACATTAGTCATAAAAGTTAATCAGTTATCATTTCTAAAAAGTAGATATAAATAATTATAGTTTTTAGTTTAAGTGTTGCAAATGTTTCACCATTATTATTTAAGCACCCGCAATTAAAATACAGTTTAAGCTTAAAAAACTTGCTCTTCTATATTTTAATTAACCGGTCACCGCAAAAGTCATCGCCTTAAACGCTCCCGAATGTCAAGGTGTCACCTGCCGAAAAGGACTTAAGCTCAGCCACGTGTTCCCAAGCAGGTCCTTGCGTTCGTCCTTAGGTAATTAACTTCAAATTTATGAGCAATTCATGGAAAATGTCTGCACAGGTGGCTGAAAAAGTACTTGAAACTCAATTTAACGCCGCTCGTGTCTGTATTTAGCATTCAAGTTAATTGATATTGCCGCAGGACATTTGGTGAGACATGAGCACAAACAATGAGCATGCCCTATTAATGCCAAAAGCAAAGCGGAATAATCATTTATAATTGCTGGTAATTATTTATAAAATTAACAAATCGTCAATGAGCCAGCAACGGAAACGAAAGCCAAAAGAAAATTAGCAAAACAAAATGGAGGAAAAAAAACAATTTGTTTCAGGGGAAAATGTGCCGCAATGAGGTAAAAACTATTTGAGTTTCTTTTCTGAGGACTGATTCACTGTCCCACGGTTGGATGGCAGCCAGCTTTTCCGCGAGAAACAAAAACAAACATTAAACTTAAGGTAGTCGGAAATCAGGAACAATTGTTTATAAACATTTGCATAAACAAAGGAAACTTGAATGGAAATTATTTATATTTGATAATTGGTGTTTATAAAATTAGGCAAATATTTACAAGATCCCAAACTAAATGAAATCTTAAGGGAATTTCATAAAAATACAATTAAGGAGAGTAAGAACAACATAATTAGACAATATTTGATTATGTTTTTCAATTGTTAAAGTTAAGTTAAGCTATTAAATAAAAACATACACCAAAAAAGAATGAAGTGTACATAAATTTAGCTACTGGCAACAACCTAAAATGATAAAAAATCATTGTTATTTTGGCAATATAAATGCTTGTTATTCGTTAAAATGCCTATGTAAATGAAAGCCAAAAGGGACCATTGAAATATATGAGAAAGGTACAAGAAAACTCGTATAAAAACAATGAGAAAAAGCTCTTTATTTTTCGAAGGATTTATTCTTGAGGTAGTCAGAAATCGGCAACAATTGTGTATAAACAATGCGCCTAGAAATGTTGCAGGGAAATGTTTAGGGGCACGGACAACGGCACGTATGAGTCATTTTAATTAAGATGTCAGTCGCACAATGGTATTTAGACTCGTGCCCTATCTGCTGGCAACTGAAGCATATATATGCCGCATCCTGGACGATTAACCCCATGAATCCAAAGGGCCAAGTCAATTAACTTGAGCCACAAAGCCATTGTTGCGCAACTCGAGTCAAGACGAGTCAATTGTGCCTCGTCACACATGTGGTATACTTGTTTACGTTTCCACTCGCCCGGTGCGCTACACTTTTATTATCATCGGGGGTCCCATCACTCAGAGAAACTCGAATCCCATTCGTTGGAGCCAAGGAACTGGAAGCCACGCACTCCGGGATGTTCACCCCCCATTCACCATGGGTTAATTCAATTTACTGCCTCTTATGCCTCCAATTTTTGATTGTCTTGGCACATGCACGAGCATCCATTCGGAAATGCAATTTACCGCGAAACGCAGAAAAGTTTTGAGTATTCGCGGATTGGCGCCAAAAAGTTTCACAATTCTCCAAGGAGGAGGAGGTCCTCAGAGCTCAACGCTAAAGCCGGATGGTTCTGGCTCATAGAGTATTCATGAAATTTTAGTTGCCATTTGTTTTTACAAAAAAAAATATCTTTTCTTATGCTTCCACCCTGTAATTTGAACTGCGGAGGGACACATTAAATAGTAACATAAAAAAAATTTTAATTTTAAGATCATTTCTTAAAGTTTTTAGTTAAGTTTGGGTATTTTTTAAGTGATGAAGTTTGGTTTTCAACATTATACATTTTTATAAATCTCAGAAATCATAAATTTTTTGTACAGTAATCATTTTAGCTGATACTATAGTTTATTCGGATTATAGTACCCTAAGCTTAGGAAACACCATTAGATATTGTAATAATTTATAATATAAGTGATTTTTGATTCAAAAATATCTTACGAAGTACAACTAAGTTGCTCATTTCCGACCATTTCTGTATTTCCTCTCCAGCTATATATAGTTTCATTTATCTGGGGCCACAGCAAACAAGCGGCAAACTTCAAAGCAACATTTGATTTATGGACAATGGAAATGTCTGAGCCCAAGAACAGGCGACAGCCAAATGGTATGGAATGGGAGTTGGCCTGGCTTGGAGCAGAAGTTATGCCTTCCCCCATCAAGTGCGTAACTTTCCATTTGGAGCCCATGTACTCGCATGTATGACTGGTTCTACTTATACACAGAAAGAAACCTAATACCAATATTGTCATTTAGTTTTATTTAACACTCTTAGATTTACAGTATACATTTAAATGATTTGTTAAAAACTTAATCACAATAAATACCAATGCTTTTCATAGGCCCACTGTTTCCAAATCAACTGTAGTAACACTGAACTTATTTTTGGACCCCCAAAAATATTTTAAATTGCATTAAAAATAAAAAGATAAATTAATCAATTTGATAAATTTAATTTAAAATCTTTTAAAAATGCCAGTGACTGTAGATTTTTAGAAAATAGTGTGGAATTTATGCCAGATGTTCGTAATATGGTTGTCATTTCTTTATGAAAATTTTCCCCTTGTGTATTCGACTGAGTTGCGCGTAAAACGTTCACGTTCTTGTTGGCTTGCCAACTTTACGGCCGACGAAGGGGCCGGCAAATAAACAAAAAACACATTGACCTCGTCCGAGAATATTGCAAGGCATGCAATAATTCTGCTCCTGCCCTTTATGAGGCAGTTGTGTTTCGTCTGGCCGGGATTTCATTACCCCGGTGTATCCTTTGAGAAGCCTTTGGGCAAACCTGATTTCACTTGCACCCTGGAAACAAGTCAATCGGGCGGAAGTCACACCTTCTCGAAGGTGCCAGCAGGGGTGGCAATCTGGGTCAAGTGTCTCGTATTTCATTGTTGTAATTACTTTTCGCCTTGCCTTTGGCTGCGATACCCAGATAACCAGAGATCTGGAATTTCAGTCGAACTGGCCTTGTCAATGCTGGGAAAATGCGATTTAGTCATCGCTGAATGCAATGGAAGTGCAGCTGTCGGGGAAAATCAGAGGGGTGATGCCGTTGGGGATTGATTTTACAACTGCGGCGACCGAAATCCGCAAA